AAGATTTCACTCAAAACCCAGCAAAACCATATGAGCATTTTGAAACTTCACCAGTAATTTTTAATCTTGCTTTGAAAGAAATCAATGAAACAGAGAGAAGATGAACCTTCAGTGTTATGATCATCTTTCTACTTTTACAGGAGAGATTCTTCAGGCAAAGGTTGCATTAGATAGGTAGAAAGATAGGTTCCTTGTACATTTCTAAGAGAAAAAGACAAATATTATTTATATCTCACCTCACTCCCTTTACTTTTCAATAAAAAAGCAGTCCTGGAGTGCATATGTTTTAGCAAAACTATATACCATGCTACATATGTACATACAAATGCTTGTACATTTCAGTAGTGTAAACTGTTTACTATGTCTGCATCCTGCATGCTTCACAGAGGCTTGAAAGGTACTTAAGGAAATCCTCGGAAGGACTAAACAGGGCAGTTTCATGAACGGTGTGCTAACAGAAACAGTAAAGTAGCATGCCCTTGAGACTGGAGTTCCTTCAGACTAGTTAAATATCTGTCCTTCACTAGTCCCCATTTCCCAACCAAACTGTTCATCTACATTATGACCTGTTCAGAAAGATGTGCTTAATATCAAACACTTGTCTGCAAAATGTTTCACTTACTAGTTTTATTTTCAAAGTGCAGACCAAAGTCTTTTATTGCAGCAACACTGGTTATAAAAGAATGGCTGCAGTGCACACTTTTTGGAAGACCCAAAGCCGCCTGTACGTTAGAAAGACATATCAGACAGAATATAGGTGCTTTCTCATGGAATACAACACAAAACTGAATATTATATCAAATTCTAGTGCCAACCCTATAGCTAACAAACAGCAATCACATGGGAGAAATAGAGCTGAACATACGCATACACACAATAACCAAAATGGTCACTCTTGATTTCACCTCCAGTGCTAGGTATGAAAGCCTTTTGCTTTTCTGACCATTTTACTAACCTTCCTCTGTGGTACGAGCAGACTTTGATTCACTGTCCATTCCTTGGAATTCATTGAAATAAGGTCGAACTTTAATTTCGTAAGTGACTCCCTTTTTCAAGCTGACGAGGACAGCACTGCGCTCCGTTGGGACTTTGACCTCCAAATTCTGCCATACAGCTGGAGAAGGTAGGCCAGACGTTTGGCGATACATTACTCGGTAACCCTGAATAAACTGGGATTGGCGGTCAACCTAGAAATGACATTAAATAATACATCAATAAACATATTAAAATAGCAAAACTGTATAAAAAAAAACCCAAAACATTTGCCTAGAATACGTTCATCCTCATGAAAAAGAGAAAATTAACAGTTGTTTAAGATGCTAAGTTTAAAAATCAAACTGCCTTCTTGTAAGTCATTGTTGATTGTCTGTAAAGACCATTTTTCTCAAATTACTTGTTATAGAACATTTCTTTCTATTTTACTTTCTCCAGCTCTATATATCATGACAAATACCACCTTAAATCATAAAACAAGGCCCTACCCCTGCAAGAAATCATGAAAAGAGAACTTTGGCATAACGCTTATTGCATGTAAACTTATTAAGCACATCTTGGCTACTGATGTGCTGAAATATGAGAAGAAAAGAAAAACAAATTCTTTTCAGAAAAGGACAAGTCTTTGAAGATACTCTACATGCTTTCAGTTAGTCCATTACTTGGCTCACAGCTCATATTTTCATGAGATGCTCAGGAAAGTAAAGTAAACATAAGACAGATGCAGAAAAAACAACTTCCAAGGTCATGTGTTGTTCCTTGCGTCCACAGCCTATGCAGCCTGTTTGCTTCCTGGGGTTGTGATGCTCTCAGGCCATCAGATGGAGATGGAATGATGGTTTTGGTTCATATTTTATATGTTGGTAGGCAAGCACAATTCAAGATTGGACCATACATAGAAGTTTAACAATTCTAAGCTATCATAGCTATAAATAGGATTCTTATTTGAAGGAAAAACTAAAAATGTGTTTTATCTCAGAGAGGTTGCATGCAGTTTTTTTCTTGGGGAAAAAAAAAAGGCATGAAACAATGATTCGAGCTATTATGACGTTTGCATTCATTTTGCCTGAAAAAACGGTGAAAATAATTTGATGGATAAAACCAAGCCAAACCCAGCTGCTTCTGTAGCAATCAAATAAAGCGCCAAAAAAAGTGCAGCACAAATAACAAGACTAGCTGTTTGGTAAATGCCTTGGTTATAACTAAGATTCAACAAGTAGGATTTCTTTTCTGTTATTGATAATTTGCTAGCTCAAAGATATTTCAGAATTAGAGATACATTTGTTTGACTTCTCTTGAGAATAAATGAATTTAAGGCTGAAAACACAAACCAGGGTCTATTATGCTTCTCCTATAATCTTGTTACAGTTTATTGAGGCATTCAGAGGGGACACAGATTCTTAAGACATTAAAAAGCAGGGCAAGCAAGAAGAAAGCTTTATTTATGAGAGCAAAGCAGAAATGTCTTTCATCAAAACTGTCACCGTTAAAAACCTTGCAACATATGTTACAACAACATTAAGCTTGCATTTTATAAACTTCTCTACATTCACTTTAAGTGAATTTATGCACTGAAAGAGGGATATAACTCACAATAATAGCTTGTTAATACCGAAAGAATCAAGCTGTGTTTTTAAGAAGAACATTAAGCAGCTGTTTCCAGATGAAGGGAGTCTGTAAATCAGAGTAAATTGTTTTTATCCATGTTTGACTTTCATTAATTAAATGTTTTACGGACATAAAGACTTTATGAACCTCATGTTCACTGCAAAATTCAGCAAAAATAATGCTTTCATGCACTTTGTAATACAGATTCTCAACCTAAATTGATTTGATTCCTGCCTAACTTCTTAGTTACAAGCTACACTTGAAAGACGGCATAACTTTGTTAGAACTTTACGTTTTGTCTTTGCAGTGCTTTTAAGCTCTACTGACTGCTGCCTAGTAGAGAACATCTGAAAATTAAGAATTGACTAGGCTGAACAGTAACAGTGTGCTGCTCTAAACCAACCTGGAAAATGCTTTGTATGGCATGGTACAAACATAAGCACACCCACTAACTCACTGAGAAGAACTGGACCCCTATAGTATACCTATAGAATATCAATTTTGAGTCTTTCACACTTTGGTATCTACTTACACATAGGTAATACACAAATTATTCATATACCTGTTTTCCTCCTAGACTTCTAGGTTCTAAATGACCAAACAATACATGGAATATGAAAACAGAATGCAGTAGCACAACAAGGTTGCCATGTATATGGGTGCTATAAACTAGCTTGATTTTGGGCTCACACAAGTTTCACAGAGCCTTCAATTAGAAGTTTGATTACAACAGGGCTGAGTCATCTGCCTGAATTTCAGATTATTGACAGTGATTCCATTGTTCAGGATCTGGGAGAGTAGTTACGAAAAGAAATACTATGCATATGTAATGTTTTCGATTAACATCCAGTTGCATTCAAGTATCAAGGAGAGGATACGAAGCTCGCTCTCACGCCCACTTAAAGCTAGTCTGAATGAACAGGGCCTTTCATACGGTCAAAATGTTGGGTAACTACTCAGAGGGCACTTCACTTATTAAGAAAAGGTGGATCTTTTGTTTTGTTTGAAGTTTCTGATTAGTAAAAAATTACTCTTGGATCATTACATGGATTAATCAGAGATATCTGTGAAATACAGGACAGGTATATTTCACATACACACACACATGTATGTGTGTGTATATGTATATGTATGTATATATATATAAATACATGCACACACAGTCTTATATATAATACAAAGCCTGTGACATAACTTCCTCCATTTGTTATGTGGTAATTATGTGTCATGCCAACAGCAGGCCACTAAAAATATGCTTAGCATTGAAGAACTGCATTCAGCTGCGCTAAGCTCTGCAGGTTTGGTACACATTCACACATAGGCAGAGTTGCAGAAACATGCCCTGTGATTTGATGAAAGAATGTAATCAGTTCTAGGCGTCCTCCTTTCTCTTTTTTTGGTAAATGGCTGCCACTGCCTCATACGAACTACTTAGCATTATTATAGAGATTGCAGGAACTCTCTGTGCTGAATACTGGGATCAGAGAATATTTCTGGTCTTCCTGTGACGCCCTTAACTACTTCTGAATTTGCACAAGCGGCAGTGTCATCGAGTCGAAAGAGCTGCAACACTTGCTGAGGTAAAGATACACTTTTTCCCTCAAAAGGCAGATGGCAGAAAATGCAGATGCTTCTTTAAAAGACAGAAGAGATCAATTACTGGGTAGGTTCTGCTCAGCACTGACCTAATGCTTTAAGGTCACCTACAAGCGTAATGGTCCTGTATGCTCCTTCTCACACTCTTTTACGATGAATACATAGTGCAGGAGGTATCTACGAAACTGAACACAGCCCTTCACTTCTGCAGAACAGGAAACTCATTTTCCCTCCATGTTCAAATCTGCACATACCACAGCTGAACATGAGACAGGTACAATGGCTATATTAGATCATTCAGTTAGGCTATCAGATTGTTACAAAGATGGCAAGCAACTAATGCAGCTTATGCTGCAAATATAAGCTCCTTTCAGACAAAGCTGCTAATCTGCCCGCTAAAGACATTTTGCAATATGCTCTTTAGTATGTAAATTCCTACCCCAAAATATCCTAAGTAATACTCTGCTCCCATATCAATACCCACCGCAATCCTCCATCTGGGCACAATACCTTGCACGTCGTGCTGAACTCACTAGTACAGACTTGCAGTAATCTCTGGAAGTTCAAACAGCATTAGTATTTATCTATCTTACAAGAACAAGACAAAGGGTGATGCTACGCTGGAAGACTGTCTAAAGGACTTGACTCTTGAAGCTTCCAGTGAAGTACACTCATTTAAAATCAGTGTCAAATTACAAGACAGAGGTAAATAAATTACCCTTCTGCCTGGTAGCCTCCTAAAAGGCAGTCAGGATTTCAAAGCAACAATTCTTTTGCCATATTGAAGAATTGATTTTTATTCGTGCTTGTGCCACAGGGCTCCTTTATAATGCCAGGAAACTTTTCACGTTTGGCCCCTTATGAAACTCTCAGTTTAATGCCCAGTGAGGCTAGAAGTGCTGAACTATAGTTGAGGTCAGCTAAAAATAGTGCTTGGAGTACACAATATGCTGTTGCAATGCAAAATGCTCTGATAAAAGTAAAAATAAATCAGGCCCAAGGTTTAAAATTAGCCATATGATAACAGTGGGCATATCTGATTCTGTAAGTCTCATCAGCAATAAATACCTCTGCAACACACCTCTCTACATGTAAAGTTAGGATAATGGCACCTGTTTTTAATTGTGATGTTAAATACAGTATTATTTGTAAAGCACCCAAATGTTACGGTTGAGAGCATGACAGATAAGCAAGTATGCGAGACAAACTAATACTTTTTTATTTAGTGCAAGGTTTCAATGGTACGAAATTAATAAGACCTGGCACCACACAGTAAATAAAGAAGATAAAAAGAAATGTTGACTAGCTCCATGAAGACGAGATCCTGTATGTGACCAGATCATTACAGCTATACTTTAATACTTATGCACAAGAGGGATAAAATTAAGTGACAGTGAAAGCCTAACTTCTGACATCCCTCTTCTTTTTTTAAACACTGACTGTATAAGCCTCACCTTCTTTCAAAACAGATAAAATACGAGTGTATAAGTATATGTATATTTTAAAATTGCAACACAGTAGCAGAGAACTATTTCTGAAATTTTAAACTGAAATTTGGGAAAAAACCAAAAGAGAAAGCAAACCTAAAACAATCTCAGAGAGAAGGGAGAAATTTGGATTAATTTGCTGGGACTCAGGATGCCAGAAACTCAGTAATCAAGGACGTTCCTTGGTATTCACTCTTTGAATTGCAGAAAGTCAACACAAAGAGTCTTATGACTCTCATGGCACTTCTGTCCTTTTGTATGATAGCTACACTATCTAACCATTTTATATTAATAGTCTGGACTTTATTCTCTGGATAGAGTGGCTTTTTTTCCTAGAGACTATGGTTAATTAATTGGTTTTGTTCTGGTTGCTGGAAAGTTTCTAATTAGCTGTTCCAGAGATCTTTTTTTGTGTCTTTCTTCCCTTAGGCAATTCTGAAACATCTCTACAGAGGCCTGTATGCTTGTCGAGTGGCAGAGGGTCACTGCTTTGAGGGATCTTCCCAATAAGCTGATCTATCCACAGCATCGCTAACAATTTACCTTTACCTTAGCATGTTTTCTTCATTCATTACTTGTTCAGGAGGGGCACCAAAAGAGTCTTTATACACACACACACACATATATATGCACACACATATATACATATATTTGTTTCATTATAATATAATGAAATTGCTGACATTGAATAAAACTGAATTCTGGCTATACTGGGGCTTCCTTTTGTAGTATATGCTAAAGCAAGGGCAAGCCTATGAAATTATATTTCTGATAGCTGTCACACCCAAGAAAGGGGGACCGCGTGGATGTGATTACAATTACTGGCTGCTAACATCCAAAGTTTCTAAACTACTGACCCATCTGCCTGGGCAAACATCTGCTTGGGCAAAAGGGTTTGCTGCAAAGGTGCCTGGGTGGGAAAGTCAGCCTGTCCTGGAGTTATGTAGCTGAAACAGACAGCATTTTTAGAAAAGCAAGCTGAATGTTGACATCATCAACAGCAAAATGCAATGACACATTTTCTAAATAATCTTCAAAGAAAGACAAATTTGTGGGTTTCTCTCTTTATTCTAATCTGCCACCCAACTGTTGAAACCTGTCAGAACAAGAATGGCACATATATCCCCATAAATATGGCTGAGTTGTGCAAAAACAACAGTAATCCCTATAATACACAATCTATCACTGCACTTCTTATCTCCTGTTGTATAATCCCCTGTACACATTAACGTTTTAGTAATATTACATGTAGAAGAAAAACCCTGAGTATCGTGAATACCCCTTTAGCAGAATTCATCCTATATAATACAACTGTTTCAGTGATATGCACTGCAGTACTATGTCTCTCACTCTTCCACCCATGGCTCCCCTTCCTCTGGGGTAGATGCCCCAAGAACAAAGCATTCTTTTCTGCTGTGCAGTGCCCTAGGAACTCTCTCTCTTCTTCTACAGTTACAAATCCTTTCCTTCAAGCCTCAGGAAGGGAAACGTAGCATTTTGAAAGCCAAACGCTGTATCAGAAATTCTACCCAGTAGTTTGACCCCTCAAATAGAAATGTTGTTAAGTACTGCCAAAAAGATTCTGGTCTTCTATAATGAAAGGATATCCACTGATTGAGGGTAAGGCTTATGCTAAAAAAAACCAGATATTACATAGTGGATCAGGCATCAGCACCACGTGCTTCTGACCTCACTACAAGTGCCCTATAGGAAAACTATTTTTGCATTTTAGGGTCACCAAATAATAGGGTATTGTCAGAGGTCCCTATGCCTTGAAGTGGAAAGTGCTTTTTCATACAGCAATTTCATGTTGATATTTAACTTTATTTTTTGACATGCACAGTAATGAGTCCACAGATCAATTATCCTTTAGATTATGATGTTAAGCATATTCATATTTATAATACTTTTCTAGTCAGACAGCTAGCTTGCTTTGAGCTGAACTCTGAAGACTTTGAACCTGCCTGACTTGAAAGAGAAAATAAAAAGACCATTTCATTACCACATATATATGCTTGTATAATGTTTGAAGTCAAGACTGGAGCTTTTCAGGGTAGTAAAAAACTGCAGGGATAAATAGGCAAAATTAAAGTCCTATTAAGGGAATAATAACAGAAGCCTTACCGTCCAGGTGACTTGAACAGTTGTGGGTGTCAGCACAACAGGATTATGCAGTCGTACAATGACGTCTCCCAGTTCTTTCTGGACTTGCCTGTGATCCACACCTTGTGCTGGTGGGCTGATATCTGCCAGGCCAGGCATATACATGAAAGCATTATTTTAATGAGTAGAGTTATATATGGCATCAATAAGAATGACAGAACAGCTTAACGACCTGATCTAAACACCCGTTATAGTCCTGTTTTAAAAACAATACAGTACTAAGCTTTAAATATGAACTCCAAAGCATATCAAGTAATGCAAACAAACCATTCACTTTTAGCTGCTTAAGAAATAATGAAATATAAAGATGCTTAAATGAGTATTCAGACTCAATAGCAAAGTTTTCTCAGATCTGGTAAGTGATGAGAGAGATGCAATATTCACTAGTTCCAAAATACTCAGATGATAATAATAATAATGTTGCCCAGATGTCTGGAACCAAATTGGTTAGTATAATTGAAGAAAATGAACAGGTTCTTTTTTATTTTCTTAGAGCATACATGACATTAAGTCATTATGTTTCCAAACTTCCACTAAGCTTCCCCTCCCCACATGCCATGCACACAAGAAAAAAAACACTAAAAATAGCGTTTTCTTCGGCAAAGTAAATTTTCCCTTTACAGCTATAGATAATGAAATCTAGTGCAAATATGAAAAAAATAATTAATTTATGAAGCCAAACTGATGCTGGTCTAATAAACAGCCAACAAAAACTCTCTACCACAAAAATTTTCTCTTCAAGATTATGTCAAAGACACCTTCAAAGTGTGTGGGGAAATTATTTCTTTTAGTCAAAATCTGAAGGAATTTGATCACTTTGTATACATCAATGGAAAACTGTGACTCCATTTCCAGCACCACAGGTGGCCCTAGTACCTAGTCCTTAGGGACCACATTTGGGTTATGCTATTGTGTTACACTGAATGAAGCTCTATTAATTTTGCTAAACAGGAACTGCAAATACAAAATATGTGTCAGAAAATGGAGAAGGAGATGTGCAATGTGTCTTTTTAGTGATAGTTTCTGGAAATCATAATTTTCTGTAGCATTGCGCCAAAAGGAGAATGTTGAGTTACAGCTATCACCCAGCTAATATATCACCATAGCACGCCCCTTCCCTGCAATTTAGACAGAAATGAAGGCACTTTCTAGGAGACAGTGAAGTCTGGATCCCTTCAGTGGATCCTTCAAGGATCTTAAAACACTGTTCTTGATCAACAATTACAGATGCCCTTACTATGTCAATCGCTTATGTGGATTGCATAACGCCTGTTAGAAATACACACAGTGATCATTTCTGCTGGAATTTGCTTGTAATTTTTCCAGCGAAAAATTGGATTTTGGAACACAAGCACAGATTATATTCAGGAAGGCCCACTACGTTATGGCTGTGCCTGCCTAGGCACCTGTGAATTCTGCTTGATTTTCCCGTAGGATTCATTAGCCAAAGACACTTTTGTTCTTATTGGATCAACATCGTGTCCTTGTGAAGAGAATACATACATAAAAGGTTTTTTCCCCCCTCTGATGGCCTTAGATACGGGAGTTCACAACATGTGATTTCTTTTTATCTATCTTCTAAATATTATTAAGAAGACATAAAAGTGCCTTTAAAACTGAAACATTTAAATATAACAACTGAGTTTGAATCACGTGCCTCCAGATTTTGAAAGTAGTTTTTGATCATCAACATTACAGCTTCACAATTCTCGATTGTTATAGATTCTGAGCCACCAATAAATAATATTGCCACAGGCTTCTACTGATATTCAAATGAAAATGGTTTCATGGACCTCCACAGGGAATATAATCCAAATATGGATGTCACTGAAGGAGCTTGTCTCGCAAATTATGCCTATTCAAAGTGACCACGAAACAGACAGATAGAATAAAATAAATCTGTAAGACAGCAACTCAGGCTGGTTTACAGGATGATAATTTATGCTGCTATCCACAAAAGGCTATGATCCTTGGTACAAAATACCTACAGCTACTCAGGACTACATTTTAGGTCAAGTTACCCTGTGGTATACAACCAACAAAGTAGCTATATTCCCTCAGGAGAAAAGACATTTCTACATAGTGTATTTGTATGAACAGCATTTCATCATTTTAATGGGACATATGTCCAGAAGTAAGTGAGTAACATGGGCTAGAAACAATAAGAAACGAGTATCAAGATGTACATGGGGAATTCTGTTTTCTAGTATGTACACTTGGAAACATATACATATGTGATGCTCACAGTCTTGTAATGTCATTTTCACATTACTAGGAGACTCCTGGTGGAAAAGCAGTTGATCTACATAGAAGGACATTGTCAAATACTGGAATAATAAAATCATGACTCAAGCAAAACTGTCTCAAGACACTATATTCTGATCATAGTTAAGAGGTCTCTAAAATTAAATTATTTATATATTTTCTCTAACCTCTCTTTTAACAGCTTCCAGTGAACTTATTATTAGTTGCTAGTAATTCAAATTCCAGAGGTAGGATTATTATTAAAGAAACTATATAGTTTCTTTAAAGTCTTTAAAGTGTTTTTTTAATGTATGGTTTGGTCTGTTAATAATCCAAACAAGAAATCAAATCTTTTTTTAGAGTAATTACTGATTTCTCTGTCCTTATTTGATTTAAGTCATAGAAGGTAAACCTTTTGAAAGTGCCTGATTGTCTACTTGTAGTCCACTGGTGAAAATATACATAAAATCCTATTACTTGTATTTGCTATGCTTAATACCAGGAAATTAAACACTCAGCTATTAAAGCTACCACAGACACCTGTTGCAAAATTATATAGCACTGTTTTAGCTGGTTTTTTCCTCCTCCGTGGCCACTGTGAATAGGCTTTCTACTGTGTGTCAGCTTCTTCTGTGAGCCTGAATTGAATTCAGGCATAATTAGAAATCACATCAAAACATTATGTTAATTTTCAATTGATTTTATGATTTAATTCTATTAAACTGCAGGCTTGCAAAGAAGCTATAAATCCTGTACATGTCTCAGTGTGCTTGACTGCTAAACAGCTTCTGGAAATGGAAGCCGCAACACATGCTGTAGCTAATTAAAAGACATGTTTTTACTGAAATCAAATTGCTTGTCAGTATGTCAGATAAAAAGTCTATACTTGACACTCAAATGCCAAACAAAGTTGTTTTTTCAACTGGGTGATAAGTTATGCAGACTAAAAGGCTGGTGCAATGAAAAGCATGAGTCACCCTAAAATAGTGGGGGAGTAAGAAAGAGAAGAAAACTTGTGATAGTCTGTGGATAGTCAAGCTATGCCCTGCCCAAGTCACTCCTTCAGCTTTTCGGAAAGCAGCTCTGTTTCTCCTTTTACAGCAGTGATTACCATTTTGAGGGGATAATTATCAAGGACAGATTTATTCAGGAATAGACTAGCATGAGACAGGTTGGATGTGATGGTTATGTGATGAAGAAATACCACCCTACTCTTGCTTCTCTCTTTCCATCTAGGATCAGCAAAGGCCCCAAACCACTTACGCACGTGGGAGGCTGACACAGGATGCACTCTCCACACACACTTTTATAACTGCCGTAAACAAAGACAGGGGATCTCATTCTAAATTAACTGTGAGAGGAGCTATTACTTTGGACTTGAAAAAATTACGATTCCAAAAAATTATTAACTCCTGTATTCCAACCTGTTTAACACAGAACTATACTCTTTAATGAAGTATTAAAGCAATGTGTTCTCAAAGCCAAAAAAAAACATGCTGTGAAGAGAAGTTTGTTTGTGGCAGTTATATGCGGTTAGAAATTGATGTAATGTGAACAGAATTCAATAGTCAATTCAATAGGAATGAAGGATCACAGCTATCAATTGTATCACCACCCTATAAATGAGGGATTTCACTTCAGCCTTCCCTCTTGGATTATGCAATGGGTTAACATAAAGAATTCAGAACTCTAGGTATATAAATGGAAGACCCATACTTTTCTCAGAAGAACTTCAAAATATTCTTAGCATGCAGATGCCTTAATTTACATGAAATCTCTGCCTAAATGTTGGACCAGATTAATCAATACACTACAGATATTTTGTGCAATTCTTTTGATTAATGCTAAACATGGTGTCTGTCATAAGCACTAGTTATAGTATATCCCTATTATAATAATGGAGAAGTAGTAAGGACACGGAGAGAAGATACTGAGGAGAGCATGGTATTCAGAGCACTTTTCAGAAAAGCTTGGGTAACTCACATTACTTTCAACAGAAACCAGGCATCAAGGAGCACACCTAGCCCAAGTGAACTGCAAAACAAAAGGTCTACAATGCACCAGGGATTAAAGAGCCAACCTATCTCTCCTCTTAAGCCCCAGACTGATAGAGTGAACATGGAACTATTTTTTATCTTCATACGTTAAGCTCGATTCACGATTCCTTCAGCCAGAGTGCTAAAGCCAAATGGCCAGACTGACCTATTGGTCAACTCTCAGTTCCTTCTTTCTATTTTAGCTCAAGCACGGAAGCCTTAATAATTACTATTACCTTGTGTTCGGACAGGATCTGACATAGGGCTGGGATCACTCAGACCTTGTGAATTGATAGCTCTCACCATAAACAGGTAGATTGTATTGGGGCGCAGTACTCTCACAGTGTAGAGAGTGGTCTTCACATGGTTAGCCACTGTTTGCCAACTATTGCTCACGGATTGACTGCAATGAGAAGAGGATCGAGGATTATAGACCAATGCAAGTGAAAAATAAAGAAGTGAAAGGACCTACTTTTGTAACCCAGTGTCAAGTCTTAAGTACAGGAAAATGTAGTAAAAGCAGGGTAAAAATAAAAAAAATTGGTTTCAGTTAATTCCTCAAGACAGGATAAAAAAAACCCACAGCTGTCAAAAGTATTTCTCCTTTCAACAGAAACAAAAGCTTTTGCTTTCTCTCTAAAATAAATACCTGCAAAAGGAAAGTGTGGAAAGCTGTAAAGTAAATTTGAATGATAAATAGGCCTCTCTTGAACATAAATCTTAGGAAAGAAAATCCTGTTAAAAGAATAATTTTCTATAATGCTAGGTAAATTATGTCAATAAATTGTCATTGGAAGAACTCTCCTTGAACTAAATTCATACTCAAAGTTACAAAAAAAAATAAAGGTCTGAAAACATGCTTATAACTTAAGGGAAGTATATGAATATTTTTTTCTGTCCCTACATTTTCCATTGGACATTATTATAATTAGATTACAATCCACTGTATGAAGTGATTACAAGTGTGATTGTCAAAACAGCTTTTAATGAAAATGCCTGGCTTTTGTTAAAGTTATTGATGGGACACCATTAAAGCTTATCTAGGGTGATATATCACAAAACTTTAAAGAGAAAATTTGATTTTCTTGTGCTTTGTTGTATAGCATTGATTAAAAGATTCTTTAAATATATCAAAAGGAAAAAGAAAATGGAAAGCTACGAGTTTCGTGTTGTTTCAATCGTTTCATTTATGTAATGCATAAAGGATAGTACAAGTTCCAGTCCAGTATGCACACAGTAATGTTCTTTGCATATTAACATAGCAGAATGAAGCATTTTCACTATAACTTCTTAAATTTGCAGGCATATGATTTTGACAAATTCTTGCATGAATTTTAATTAAAAGATGAACTAAATTATTTGTCATTTTTTGCACATCTTGATTAAGAAAAACATTTAAAGACATGCACATTTTTAAGCAGAAGTGTATATTACAAATACACGAGCGAGGTATGGCCCATGCTTAAACAAACTTGCTGAACTGGGGACCAGGAATTCTTTCCTACCACTCTTAAGTGGTGCTGTGTGGAAGGGAGCAGCTGGATCCTCTTCAACCTCAGGCTGCAGGATGAAATCCTAAATTATCAACACTAGCCTTTTCAGTTAAAATTTTTAATCTGTCTAAAACAAACAGTAAAAAAATAGAAATTTTTTTAAAGAGTCAAAGTGCTTTGACTCTTTAATAGGTGCTGCTTTAACAAGAACAGGAATTAAAGTGTGCAGAGAGGCCCCAGGATTATCCACTTATTTTCAGATTATTTTTACTGATAGTCAGGATAACACTGGCCCAAATGATTTGACCTGCAGCATTCCCACAGGAGACTCCCTCTGATCATCAATGCTAAGGGAAAAGTAACAAATAATGACTGCATTGTCCTGTTATAGTCCTGTTGACCTGAAGAAATAGTTAGATGCTCCTCTAATTAATCATTTAGAAAGAAGTGATAAATAGAAAAAAAATCAATTTAAAAAATAAGAAGCATTGCCTGCCATTGGAGTTGAGTCTTTTAATGAACTTCTAATGATACGTGTAGGCTCCAAAAGAACACCACAACACCGGGAGAACAGCTGGTACCAGGGTTTAAGCAAAATTAGAAAGGAAGATTAAAAGTAGAATAATTCACATACCTAAAAGCCTCAATGATATATGCACTGGCTGGTAGGCTTCCAGGGGTCCCTGGTTGCCAGGACAGAGTGACACTGTTCTTAGTAACATCAGTGACCTGAGGTTTAGATGGTGGCCCAGGGAGGTCATTTATATCATAATTTTTACTGACTGTTGCTCCACCAGATTCTGTAAGGGGCAAATACAAAACAATTACTCTTTATCCTTGATTGTGTAATTTTGCTCAAAATAGAAGATTAAAAGGAAAAACACGACAAACATCTGCAAAATCAGCAGAACCAATGTTCTTAATCTGTAAAAAACGAAATCAACAATTGCATTACCACGTATGTATTTGGATGAAGAGCTATCATTCTTTAGGTGCACACTGAAAGAAAAACCCCACAAAACTCAAAAGGTTGTATATAAATACATTAAAAAAAAAGAAAAGAAAAAATAACCAAAAAGATCAGCTTTGCTGAAAATTACATAAAATATCAAAACCTCAGCTACTAGAAGGCTGAGAAGGTTCCTATATCCAGATCAACTCCAGTAGTCACAGAGAGCACACTGGACTTTGATAAGACTCTGTGTAGGCATAATAGTTTTCTCGCCCAAGCCAATTACTGGATGAACGCACAGTTTATTAATACTCATGTTTAGAAGAGTTATGGCATACCACTGTCACTGGAGACAAATACAAGCTGTTGTAATGTCAATGGCCATTTAAAGATAATAGCAATGAAATGAAAGGCCTGTGAAGAAACCCAGTCTTCACACCTAAAACTTCTCCATCTCAATCCCAGAATTTCTAGAATGGATGATCTGACTGCTCTGATGTAGTCTACACTTCCATTTTGCGCCAACTGAAAAACAGCCCCTGGACATCGCTTACCTGTCACCTCCAGCACAGCACTCCAAGATGTCTCCCCACTGGAACTTGTAGCAACACAAGTGTAAGTCCCAGTATCGGACAGCTAGACATGAAAAAACAGTTAAAGGCTGTTTTAACAATCTTTTAGAGTCAGCTGACAGAGTTTACTCCAATTTTCTTTTTTCTAAATGTTTCTTGGTAAGAAGGACTTAGCCTACAGTTTACACCAGACTACAGGGCACCAGACAGACATTTTCAAACAATCGTTTAATGGTGGCTTACTTTTAAAGAACTATAATAAGATTACTTGCTTCTAGTACTTTTCTAATTCTAATTTTTATATTGTTAGTGGTACCAGTACAGCACGTAAGTGCTCCAGAATGGATGTTTTAATGTCAATCTTTGTATTGGTTACAACAAATACAGGTGAAATCAGGTAACAATATAACAACAATTAACTTCTTAGAGGATAAAAACTCTATGATGACCAAGAGATGCAGTTTCCAGTGCCAGGAAAGCTGTTAGATCATCTTATACTCTTATGATAGATGAAGTAATTTCTGTACCGGCCACCACACATACAAATACTGTTGCTGAGACTTAACAGTGGTTGTCTCTACACAGACAGTCCTCCAAGCCATTTTCAAATGCCAAAGGTAAATCAGATCCTACACCACACTTACCTTTCTTCTGTTTCACATGGGATTTTATTTCAGGCTTTGTAAGGTACTTTGGTAGCAAAAAAAACCCCATTTGTATAAAACTGTTGTGATTCCCTTCATATATAGTTCACATATTTCAAATTTATTTGGGGGAACTGTTTTGAATTATATTGTCAATATTAATGTCATTGCTGTATAAATTGTTCTACTGGAAAATTTGCTAAGGTATTTGCTATTCCTTACTTAAATGTAAAGCAAAGATTTCTGAGACAGGAAATAGTGAAGACTACAACGATGGGTGGAAAATGGTAACTCTACAAAGCACACAATATACAGAGGAGCCTCCTACCATCATGTATAAAGTATGATAATCTAGAGATGGAAGCAGAAGAGGGAGAGTGCTGACTCTAGTGGTAAAAGAGAAGAATTATATTCATCACCAGATGACTTGACGGAAATAGGACTGCATCCAAGAAGCTTTATTGGACTTCAAGCAATTGTAATGGGTGTTCTGCTAAATGCAGATTGGCACTATAGCAAAAGTGCTTACTCTTCACTCTTCAAGAAGAATGTCAAGACAAGTAAGTGAGATGCTCTTTAGATTACTTGTTGATATAAAATTTAACTGATTTTTTACTTTTTCATGTCTGAATTTTGTTGGTATTTTCTTCAGATACACTGGGACTGCAGTGTACCATTCTTAGGGCAGGAAGCAACAAATTAATGCCAGTTCAATAGTCTGAATGAGCATGACATGCATTTTAGGAGGTGCTTTTGCCATGAAATACAAGCAATAATTAAGCCCCTCTGACAATGCCTCAGAGACTCAAAATATAGAGATACTGCTAATGAAATGAGAAAGACTCTTGAAAAGAGACAGATTTTCCAGAGGAGAGCACCTTACTGCATTCTGAAGTAGTGCTTTATTTTTCTTCTTCCGAGCTCTTATTAAATATATAATTCTTCATTATGTGATAATGGAGAATATTTCTCAAGGCTATGGTTTTCAACTTCATTTGTGTACTACCATTACAGACAGTGTATGGCATACACACTGAGCATACAACAGAGCAACTTGCAGAAGGCAAACTCAACATATAAAGCAAGCTGGAGATATGCTGCTTCTTGCAAGTTACGGTGAATTATCTAACTCCTAGACTGTGGATGGATTAGATACAGACATAGTGTACTGATAATTCATTACTTCATAATTCATTCATTATTATTTATACTTTTTTTGTTGTTTAGAAAAACCAACAGGGGAGGTGGATGGAAAATCTTTGCTATTCAGTAAAATAAACAGTTTTCTTCCTTAGTTAATGCAGGTGTCTAACTCTGGTGTGGTACATTTCTACAGAGCAGAAGGAAGTTTTCCATCAGTGTGGACCTGTTGAAAAGGGTACTGAGTGATGTATCTGAGGTTTTAGTTGTCTTCCTCAGAGCAACTGGGAAGATTTGCTCATCAGAAAAATCTCTAGGTCCATGTTTATGATTGTGGCCCATGGGTTACTGTGACTGCTGCAGAGTCCTGAATAATTTGATTTACACACGGAAAGAGAGTTACATAGCAGAAGAGGATGGTCTCAAAGGTTTAAATAGTAGTGGCTCATCTTTACCCATATCTTGAAATCTTTTATAATTGCCATAGTGATTATTATTTGTGAGGGGCGGAGAAGGCTGAGGACTGTGGCTGATAAATATTAATTCATTTTGAACTTGGGTATGTAAGTGTACTTGGACATATAGCGTGGACATTTTTTGCTTAGGAAGTGTTGATAGTCCTTGCTCAGGTAGACCTTGGAGAAAAGTTAAACATGCCAGATTTAAATCCATATTTAATTCCGAAAAACTGCTAGGTACAGGAGAAATCTGGTTTTTATGGTTGTGTGTGTTTTTTGTTCTTAAGTCCGAGTCAAACAGTGCACATTACTGCAATCGAGGGGTTTATAAAAAATGTCTTTCTGAGCCTTTAAGGAAAATTAGTTACTACTGAATGAGCCACTTAAGGATCAATAAAAGCTTCATGCCTTTCAAAACCACACTCGCTACTAATACTGTTTTCTTCTCCCCTTGCAAGCAATTTTTTTTCCTTTCGTTTACAGACCTTGTGCCTCTAACAGCGAGATTAATGCACTGGCACGATTCAGAACCAATTTCATTGTTTGCATAGCTGCATGCAGACAGGTATCCCAGGAGCTTCTGCCTCATGGACACTCCACAGAAGCCCATCATCAATGCCTGAAAGTTTGTTTGAAATCAGTAAGCTTCCACCTTTAATTGCTGCTTTCTAACACTACTGGGGAATCTTGACTATTCAAGCGCACTCTTTAATCCAGCTCTACAGGAAAAATGCATTAACCTTCATGGCCTAAACCTGCCTTCAGCCCAGGGAGGAAGGATAAATTGTTTACTTGAGGAAAGCTAGCATAAATTTTTTAATAAATTCCATTTTGTTCCAAGGAAGTTAACAATTCATCTATGATCACTGATGAGATGGTATCAGAAAGCAAAACTGCACTTTATGTCTTTGTCCTCAGTAGCTATGTTTATTGCCTTTTTTGGATGGCAAAGCTAAGTATAGAAATTACTACCGTTAAATGGTTTCTGAAATTGTCTTTAAGTTCTTGACAAATAATTACATTTACCTTATTATTTTTCCATATACATGCTTGTCCACATACACACAAGCAACTAGACATTTTTATCTTTGAGCAGGGAAAAAATTAAAAGCCCAAATAAAGATTAGTGATGCAATGTTGATCAACAAAATCTGACATTATACTATTTGGAATATTATAAGATTTCTTTGTAATTTTAAGAAATCATATTATCTCATGTGTCAACGTGTAAATATTACGATAGGCATTTTGTTTTGAATAGAAATCCCTCTGCACATGACTGCCTGTATGTTACAGTACTAGTTGTCTTCTCCCATCCGCAGACTTATGGAACATCTCCAGCAAGCATAACATTGGAATAAATCAGCCAGCTCAAGACTGCCAAGACTCGTTGATGGAGAAAGTTCACGGCCAAACCCTGATGAACTCCAGAATCGCTTGCTAGCACAATAGCTCCTTGGAAAATTATGATCAGGTGTTAAAACTTACAGCAGTTCACTTTCGGCATAGACAAGAGGCCAACAGCTTCATGGTAAGACTGACTGAAAAGATGATGAAGGCCTGTCCTTTTATATGTCTATCCATCCCCAACTCAGGTGTTTTATAGCAATATATGTAAGATTTTAAATATCATTTCCATTCTTGGGCAATTCTAATAGAAATATCTGAATCTAGTTTGGCTCTT